ATTTATCACCTCCCACAATGTAGAGCTATTTTTCCCGCATACAAGACCAACCCAGCTAAAGACTTGGATTTTCTTTCAGCAAGCCACTTCATGTTTCAAGAACCTGAATGGAAAATAGAAGCATAGCTTTTCTACTTCGAAAAGGCATTTATGTTACAACCTGCACCAGAGGTGGATACAGACTGCAAGGCAGTACGCCAAAGGTGAATATTACAGGATAATCGATGGTTGTGGCAAGCGTCTCAGACAAGGGGTTCACTGTCAACAACAGGTTGTTCTAACAAAGAGCTACTGAAAGTAAAATTGTAGACAAATGAACGTAATTGCTTGCGTGAGGAATCAGATTTCTCGACACGGTGAGTGCCCAGCATTCCCCCCTATTTATGCGAAGCTATCTACCTATGTTTTCTGTGTATCTTGTATTCTGCTTGCTCTGCTTGCTGCACAGCGAGCAGCTCCTGACTGGCTGCCTGGGGACTTGTGGGTCTTTCCATCCCTGGCCCAATGATTGGATGAGGTGTCCCGGCACCTCGGGAATCGCCCAGCGATCCTACACGGGGGTATTACGCTCCCACTTATTACACCCCTGTCAGTTCAGCAAAGACAAAGAATCAAGGAATGATTTACATCTACATAGACAACTCTAACCTCTGGCTATAGGGCCGCAAGACTTTTGCAGAGAGCCAATGCATGACTGTTGATAGTGATCCTCGATGGAGATACAATGCCAAGACCCTTCAATCCATTCTCTTGAATCATTGCCTCCTCCGGGAAGACTGGAATCCAGTGTCCGTCAAACTTTACGGAAGCTCCGTCTCTCCCGACGCCGACGCTGTTTGGGATGCCCTCGAAGCGGTCAATATTGAAGTCAAGGTTTTTGATCGATGTTTTTTCTCTGGAAAATAAAAGGTGGATGGGCAGCTTGTTGCCGATGCGGTTGATGACGCTGCTGATGCGTTTTACTTTGATGATGTGACAAGTGAGTTTGTGATAGTGTCGGGAGATAGGGATATTCATACGGCTGTGGACAAGATTGCGTCCAGACGTGGGTTTGATGTGCATGTTTGGTCTTGGAAGAATGGGCTTGCCAGTGAATATTGGGAGCAAAATGAGGAAAGGGTTCATGTTCACCTTCTTGATGATCACCTTGAAGAGATTGGGTTTCTTGAGAAGACGTGGAAGGGAGATTTGGGATCTATTCCACGGAGGAGTCCGGTGGTTCTCGGAGGCGGGTTGAGGGCCGCGGAAATTGAAGACTCTGTGGATGGGTTGAAGCTGAAGTATCCGGTTTTTACGCATCAGTTGGAGCAAAATTTCGGAAACAGTGCCAACATTGCCAAACACCTAACCCTCCTACTAGGCCCAGAGAACTCTACGAGGAATACGAATGATTGTGAAAAAGCTCGGGAAAAGTTTCTTTTGGACTGCAAACAAGGTCTGAGAAAAATTGGACTGAAAGTGATCTCGTTCCTGGAATATAGCCAAAAATATCTCACGCCGCCCAGTTCTCCTACCAGTACCAGCAGTACAAATCAAATTCAAGCCTTCCATCTCGATATGTCAAGGATGCCAGAGAACAGGGCGATTGAAAGCAGCAGTGACAAGGAATCGCAAAGTAATGATGGCTTTCAGGAAGCTGTTAGTCCGAGGGATAGAAAACACCAGGCAAAGCGTGGGCGGCAGGATAGCACTGGAAGCAACTCGCGACACCATAGTGTCCGGTGCAACCTCAAGATGTATTGCAGCCATGGCCTGAGTTGCAATTTTTGGCATATAAAAGAAAAGAGGGATCAATTTGCACTTGAAGGGCCGAAGAAATTGCATCAAACCATACTTTGTAACAGCTGGAAAACGCCCGAGGGTGTTCCTATTCCAGTAGGTGCACATTAGCACATGGACACTCTGAGTTGTTTTGCCTTACCTGTGGTAAGAGGGGAGCGGGACATGAGATGATTGATTGCCCTGAGCGGGCATAGAAGCGGGAATGATGACTGGCTCGATACAATTTTTCAGAGTTTTGCGTGTATTTTGTTAATAACATTCCTGGTTTTATTTTTAACCAGCTATCATAGCTTGGTTTATGTCTTTTAATTCAAGAAGATTCAAACAATAATTAATGTATGTCTTTTTCATTTTGAAAACGTCTTTTATATCTTGAACAGGCCTTTTAAGTTTGCAAAGTACTCTTTACAAGCACTAGAGATACGTGACCGTTATCTGGTCGATGTACATGTGTACATTGTACCAAGAAGTATACACTGTGGAATTCATGCCTCCTAGATGTATGTACATTATATTCTTTACAAGTATGATAAAATGAACGTCTGCCAGGTCTATAAATATAGCCACCTCTGAATACAGTTCATCAAGTTGTTTTATTTGCTAGCCGTGCGGATCGTCTCAAGCCAGTATCCTCTGGAGATCTCGAGTCCGTCAAACTCATCGTCCCATTGGAAGATGAGGGAGTGGAATCGTGTTTTTTTCTTGATGCGCCGGGTTCCCTATAGCCTTTCATTCTTCCAACCGTCTGAGAAATTGGTGCATCGGTGTTGTGAATTACTGCCCCTAATCCTTCCATGGTCTCGAAGCACTGAACCAACTGAGTGATTTCCGCCTGCCCCTTTTCACACTGCATTGGCTGTTTGGTATTAGAAATTCTTTGTCTATTCACCTCCAACCTCTTCACAAACCGCTCGTAAGCAGTTTGATCCTCCCCAGCAATTGCCGAGTCTTGGTTGGTCTTGATGTCATGAATAAAAGTCCCAGATATCTCGCCCATATCCCCATAGCCAAACAATCTCCTACTTGGGTCATTTTGTAGTTGATCCCGCAGCTTTTTAATAGCTGCACGTTCAGACTTGTAGTTGATCTTTTCCGTTTTTGCCTCGGTTTCTGACAGCGGCGCTGTGGATGTAAAAGTGAAGGTCGTCAAAGCAAGTCCGCCTTCTTGATTTAGAGCCATGGTGAGGCAGTCAAAAAAGTCCTTCCACGATATGCCGCGTGTGGCACACTCCCCGTACTTGGCTAGGGCAGAGTGCGCATTGTGCAGAACAACAGTATGCAAATGTTCCTTGTGGCCAATAATGAGGTTGAGCAGGTCTTCACTGATAAAGACGTGCTTCAACTCCAGGTGCCCCAACACAGGCATTGAGCCATTGGTTCTCATGGGCAAAGGAATGTGGTATTTTCCATTCATCCCAAACGGCGTCACCGGCCAAAGCATCGACACTTTGAGCGTTGTCACCAAGTCAAGCCACTGAAAGAAAAACTGTTGCATTGCCCCAACGTCCCTGCCATAGCCTTGAAGCGAATTGGTAAATTCAAATGCGAGAGTTTCGCAAACTATGGTAATATCAAGTGACTTGACCCGGCGCATATATGCCTTCCATGCCTTGGTTTGGAAGGTTGAAACACCACGCGGAGACCAGCTCTCAATAACTAAATTTGGCGTTCCCTTGTTTGCCGCGAGCGCTTTGTATGTATTGGCCCAAAGCCGACACATGGTGAGTTTCGCTTCCCGCTGACGAACGTCGGCCAAGCTTTCATGGTTGATAAAGATTGAGGGGCCGTGGGGACCGTACTCGTCGGCTTCTCCGTAGTCGTGATCAAAATTGATGACGATTGTTTCGAGGTTGGGCAGGAGTGCGGCATTTGCCTCAAACAAGATGAGGGCGCTGTATGGTAAGACATCCCGGTTTGTCGGTCGTGGATGCTCATTTTGTGATTGCTGATTGTCGTCTTCCTCACCCGCAAAGCCAACAAATCGCAATACTCTAACGTGGTGACCGTGTTTCTGTGCTGCTATCAAGGCCGAGTTGGAGATTTTCGGATCATTGGAGAACCGAACTGTGTGGAAAATATGACAGGCGAGCTGTTCTCTCAGTTCTTTGCAGGACATGCTGAGGTTGATGACATGGCCATCATCAAGATATTTGACGATGTACTTGATGGTGTCGTCTCTAGGTAGTGTGTGAATGTTGACAGCTGCCATTTTTTCTTCTGGAGTGGAAAGCCGTAAATGGGTCGTGAAATGCAGTTAAATGCAGGTACCTATATAACACCTGAATACTTACTGTGCATCCATGGATCAAGTAATTCCATGGCGGTCATTGCTTCAATGCCAAGGCGATCATGCTGCCCCGGCTCTGCAGTGGATGAGACGTTCAATGGCAGGCAGCAACACTTGATCGGCGGGTTTGAACAGCGGGAACGGAGATCTGGCGACACTAGTGGTTGCGCCGGCGGGTTCTTGTGCTTGGAACCAGGCCTGCTTGGAACCCATTTTATTTCAAAATACGCCTTTCTACTTTCAACTAGACTTTCATAGCTTTAAAGACACCATTTCATGTTCACAATCGCGTTATCAAATCATGTTTTACTGGTTTTAAATATACTTGCCTGATATTGCGCTTCTCCAGTACCATGGTTTTCAATAACACCTGACTTGTTAGGAATTCCTACTAGGAAACTTCATGGTCCTGTAGAAAAACCGACTCCCCCCCCCCCCGGTGGCAAAAGAATTGTGGTGGTGCTGAAAAACTTCCCGATCAGGAGGTTTAAGTGGGACTCTGCTTGAGCCAATCAGGGCGTGCTCTCCCAAGTGTCCATGCTTTCCACTCTGCTCTTGAAAACTCGCAAAACAAGAAACTTCTGAAAACTCGCAAAAGAGGAAGCTATTGGGCCAACTATACTATAACCCTAACCCTGGCACTTACTGCCCGGCCCTCCGGGCCGGGGCTTGAGTGGGCGAGATGCGAAGCCCTGGGGGCCGCGCAGCGGCCACTGGGGTTGAGATCGAGCTCACGAATGCCTTATACCGTAGTAGGCCTGGGAGGTTGTGTGAGGTTGTGGGAGTTTGGAGGTTGTCGATGGTCTTGAGAGGGTTAGGGTCTTACTACCTATAGGTCCTATTGAAAACCCCTATCCGAACGAAGCGAGTTACTCAATTGAATATAACCAAGTGCTTTTTTAAGATGATTGAAAGCAGGAAAAAAAAGAACCAACAGCTTACAGGATTCGAACCTTTGAAAACGAACCTAACAGATACCCACAACGTGGAAATCCAAGTCTGTCGCCTTAACCACTCGGCCAAGTTGTCGTGCTGAAGGCTTGACGAGTTAACACTTATAAAAGGGGTTATTATAGGAGACATCTAATTTCCCAGCTAAGTCTCGCCACCTCATTCAAACTTCAAGTTCCCTTAACCTAAACCATTCAAGGTTCTATAACCAATGGCTAAAGAGGTTCACCATTACAGTTTGCCAGACAATATAAGACCCGAGAGGTACACATAAGCAAAGGAAATACACAATCTTATTCGACTATAACACTAGGTATTCATATGGCCTCGTTACCTCAACCATATCAGAGACCTATCTCTGTCTATAAAAAAGTAAAACTCTTTAAACTCTCTCCCCATCATCCCCTTTCCCTTTCTCCCCCTTTAAACCCAAGCAATATAAGAAGCACCGGCACGATACAAAACAGTATCGGCCCAAGCATCCAAGTGCCAAGTCAATCCATCCTTGTTAACAGCTGACGCACTCGACTTGACCCGAAGATTAGTCCATCTCTCGCTGTCAATCATATTAAGTGCAACAATAACGTTGGGAGTCTTGGTGAATGTGCCCGAGGGGAAATTGGCCTTTCCAGAGGTCAGAAGACGGGGTTGATCCCACTTGCGGACGTCATCCGTGCTGAACGACCCGCTGGCGACGCCGGCCTTTCCGGTGGGATAGGCAATCCAAGAGGCGGTGGCGACGTGAAGGGTTGAATCGGCCCAGGTGTCGAGGTTGAGCTTGAAGCCGGTGCGGGTGATGTCGCTGACGGTGGCGCGGACGCGGAAGTTGGCGCCATTGTTGACATCGATGTGGGTGAGCCAGACGATGACCTTGGGAGCGGAGGCATAGGCACGGGGGAAGGTGATTTGCTTCTGAGTTACGGTCTTGGGCTTGTCCCAGGGGTGGTCCTCGGTTGTGCTCCAGGAGCCGGATTGGAAGTCGGGGTCGTTGGCGGCGTGGCGGAACCAGCTCACACCGGCGGAATAGACAGTGGTATCGGCGTAGGAGTCGATGTGGATGTCAGTCTTGGTGGTGGTGGTATCCTGGTGGAAGGCCATGATGCGGGGGTTGGAGGAGCGGCCGATGTCGAGCCAGTTGAGACCGAGGGCGAGCTTGGGGGCCTGAGAGTAGCTGGTGGTCCAGGTGAAGCGCTTGGTGTGGAGGAGACGAGGCTGGTCGGCAGGACGGAGCTCAAGGGTGTTGAATGAGTTCACATCGGGGGTGCTCTGGAATGGATAGGCGGTGCTAATGAAGGACTTGTCGGTGGCAGAGAGGATGGTGTTCCAGCCGACGGAGTAGCCGTTGGTGGTCAACTCGGCGGGGATGGCGTAGAGCATGATGGACTTGTCGTCAAAGGCACTGAACTGGGTGGATGAAGCAGAGTAGAGGTTGAACAAGTTGTTGTCGACCTGAGCCTTGTCCCAACCTTGGGTGCGGAGGTAATACTCGTACACAGCAGGCCTGTTCCATGGGATGCCGGAAGCGGTGGGGGACTGGTGCTCGTGAATGCAGCCGAGAGCATGGCCGAACTCGTGGACAATGACACGGGAGAACTCATTCTCGGCCGTGCTGTCAGTGAGCCAACCAAAGTTCATGGTGTGGGTGTCTTGAGCGATGAGAAGGTTGTCAGTGCCGAGATAGGACCAAGAGCCGCCGCTGTTGTCGACGTTGATACGGATATCAGCATCACCGGAGGTGACCCACTGAAGCTTGATGTTGGCGAACTGGGTCCACTGGTTGCCGTACTCCTGGATCTTGCCCTTGACCTTGGAAGAGCCGTTGAGGATCTTGACGCGGAGGGTGCGGCCGTTTGCCCACATCTTGCCGATGGGGAGAGCCAGGGAAGGAGGCTCAAGACCGGGAATGGACGGAGCCGAGGTAACTCCATGGGCGTTGGCAGGATTCTCCTGAACGGCAACCATGTCTCCCTTGGCCTGGAGCTCAGGAGGAAGACGCATCTGGGTGCAGAGCTGGAAATCGGGAGCGGTGCCATTGCTCTGTCTGGAACCAAGAGGGATGGTGTGGGCGCTGACGGCGGCAACGCCAACCGCGAGGAGTTTGAAGAATTTCAACATTATGATTAAGAGAGCGATTGTGCCAACAGGTACTGTAACGAATGTGGTAGTAGTAGGATGGTACTGTGAGGGCAAATTGCCATGGCCAAAGACAGATGAGATGGACGGGAAGAGCTGATACTTATACACATTTGAAGAATCATATCTCTCCCATCAAAAGGGGATTTTGGAGATATTTCGACTTGCACAGCCTTGATGGCTTCACTCATTGCCCTGAGAAGGTTGCATTAGGTAGACCATGGTGGTCATTCTACCCCAGACCAGTGTAAGCCAGCCTACCGGATACGGTCGTCATTAGATCCTATCCAGCCTGAGAAATTTCAGGTGTGACAAATGTTTGGTTCAAAGACGCTCTTGTGAACAGTGCGTTGAGGCTCAGTCTGACATACCTCGACTTTCCAAGAGACTGTACCCTTCGACAAAGTTAGCCCTACGAGCTGAGTGAAATCTCCGCTCTGGCCCGGTCCATTCCGCCTCATGACTGAATGTAGCATGGTGTGTTAGGATTGCATAGGCAGAAGAGAGCTCGGCATGACCATCTCGGATCCTTCTGAACAAGATCTAAAAGTTGCTGGTTTTGCCAAGGTCGGTGGAAATTATTGTTTTGTATGCGTTGGGTCGCCATGTGGCAAGGATCCAGCCCTAAAGATCCAACAAACGTCCCGGTCATCGTAAACGGCCGACCAATGTCCGCTATGGCGTCCGACGGCATATGGCTCCCTTGCAACATCTTCTGATTGCCCATAAAATTCACAAATGATAGAGAGAGGAAGGTGTCACAAGAATTTTGAGTCTGCTCCCAGATGCGAGCATCATGTCAGACATCTGACGTGCGTCTGTGGTGCAGCTCATGATTCGGCAGCCTCTCAGCTTCAATATCCGCCTCGAAGATATGTCACATTTTCAGGCACCGTGGGTTGCAGACAAGCGGCTGTCAAAAAGTCTTCGGGACGAGTGCTCGCGTACGCCGACCAATGCCAACCTCGCTACCAGGGAGATATCCCATCGGGCTGTTTGAGACCATTTCAGGGTCCAACTGGTCTGCTTTGTGGCCTGGGGAAAAAAGATTTTTGTGGCACAGCACCTAATGCCAAGCAAGTCTCGCCCCTTTCCAGTGCGGCCTCAAAGAGCAGGGTTGGCACGGGAACATTAGACCCTTACATGAGGCTGTAAGTGGTAACATCTTTGGGATCTGTGTATGCAAGTCATCATTGAAATTAACAGGCACGCTTCATTGAGAGTACTTAGTGTAACATTACACATGGGATGGATTGACAGTGCCGTCTATATAGCTGGGCATTACTACCTTGAGCTGACTCACCCACTCAACATCCACGTGATGGTAGTATTTGAGCTCCCAACTTCACCAGTGCCAAGTTACTCTAAACCGCTTTCTGTAGACCGTGAAGAGGAAGGATTGAAATCACCTTACCGGTTGACTGGAGCTACCTGAATGTTGCGAGGATGACACCAGACAACAGCCATGCTACTACGTCTTGGACCGGAAAGTCCGGGCACTATAATCAAGTTGAACATCTCCGAGTTTCCCCAAAAGCACCAAGCTGTTGGGTCTATGATTTGACTGATGGGAGCTCTGGTTCGATTACGTACATGCACTTGTCGCCAGGTTGCTGAGTAAAAATAGTCGTCAGCTCAAACCCGAAGAATCTGAACATCTACTCAGTCCCCGGACAACTTTCCGATGGTAGACAGGGTTTTCATAGTAATTGTTGGAGAAAGAATGATAGGTCCAGATATAGTATAGTGTGTGTAGTTTGGCTGGATTCAGGACTATGAAAGTCAATATTGACTTTACCCCTGAGTCCCCGGGACCCCCACCTCGTTGGCTTTGCGTACGCAACACCGTTACACTAAAAATACATCGACTCCCTTGCTCTATTCACCAAATCATCGTAGGGTTACCTTAAAGGAGTTGCTGTTGCCTGACATATTGTTCCACTTCCTACACTACGATATCGTAAAGCTTTTAATGGCGTGGCTCGCCGTGTTGCCATCATCCAACACCCAACAGAATATCGACAGAGAGCACGTGGACATGAAATGCCCCCTTTTCACATGATGAACCTCATCAAGTGCTTCTGAACGATGGTCACAGCGATGACGGGAGGAATAGCGGTCATGCTAACACTTTGATATGCATGTCAGAAACTCGGATAAACGGTGTGTGCAGTCTCACTTTCACATAATTATAGACATTTATCTCGTCTCAAACTAACATAACTATTCGTACAGAGATTTGGTAAATACTGCTTACCCTTGAGCCACAAAATCACGTCCAGAAGCAACCTCTTTATGTTTCGTTCGCGATAGCCCACCAAGTCTTAGGAAAGGCCGGATGCTCACTGCTTCATGAGTCTGGCCTTCTTCGGAACCCTCTTCTTCCACAGATGTATCGAGTCTGACTTGAGGGTTGAAATACATCACGGTGGCAAGCTCCAAAGTAAAAGGCCAGATAATCCCAAACTTGTGCGATTTTTCAGACCTCTTCTCGAGTTGTGACGAGGTTCCCGATTCCGATCGCCGGAAGGTCCTCGAGACGTGAGCAGGCACTGTGTTTCTGCGAGACATCATGTTACCACTGCCTTGATTGATGTTCATATCTAATGAAAAGGATATAAAAGGTAAGCACTCGTCCATTCGTACTTGGAACTGAATAGGGATAAGGTGACACAAACCTGGCAGAGAATGAGAACCAACAACACTCAATCCGTGGCGTTCTTCTGAAGTTTCTCCCTGGTTTTCCCAATCCGTCCCCTCATTTTGAGACTGTCGCTCACTCCTACGGCCGTGAGAGCTCGGAATGGAATTCATAGAACCCTGAACAAGATCAGACAAACCCCCTTGTGGCATTTCCTGTTCCACCACCAAGGCCCTCCGCTGTTCTTTCCACCGCTTCCAGGTTTTGGACCCATCTCGAAACATGCGAAGAAACAGCCACAACG